AAAAAAAATTGAGTACCCTGGGAAGAGCAGCATGTGCCCTACCAACAAGCTTTTTAAGATGTCAAAATATCATAAAATACAGGGAAAAAACACGATTAATACAGCACCTTTCAGAGAAGTGCATTACTCTTTTAGATGTTGACCTGATATTTTCCATCAAATATGAGAGGGAAGGATAATGCTTAGACACAAGGCATGAAGCAAGCATATTACCTCACAGCTACAGCTGTTGCATGCCTGGATCAAAGACTATGACAGGATTGTCTAGATTAAATGTCCTCTATGTTTAAAAGAATAACATTACCCAAGGCCAACAAGGTATGCCAGTGAAGGAAAAGCTTTTGAAGGGTGTGGGCATGAACTGTGCTTGTGAAGGGGACCAGCCGGCTTGACAAGTTTTTGTTTATAAGCCTTAGGAGAATGCAAAAGGAAGTAACTGCCAGTGTGGTGGGAGTCCCTTGGTTTTCATCAGCGTTTTTAGGAGGAAAGAGGAAGAATCATAGCTCAGTTAATGTGATAAAGGGTTGTCATGGTAAGGAGCTCAGGGTTTGATTTTAGATGGACTTGGGTGCAAATCCTGCATCGGCCACTCATTGGTTTCTTTGGACAAGTCAGCTAACGATAATAAATAAGATTTATGGAGCACTAACTATGTGTTGGACACTCTTTTAAATGCTTTGCATATATTAATTAATTTAACCCCCACAACAGTTTTCTGAGGTAGGTATTATAATTTCCTCCATTTTATGGACGCAGAAACTGAGGCACAGAGTAAAGCCACTTGCCCAAGATCAACGTACATTTATTAAGTGGAGGAGCTGTTTCCAACAGAACCTTCCGTATATCTCATATCCTTCCAGTAATTTCTTGTTCCTGCTTGAATTAGCTAGAGCTGGTTTCTGTCGCTTGCAATCAAAGAACGCTAAGTGAGGCAATAAATTACAGGGTTCTTTATGTATGTTATCATACGTGTATAAAAAATTTAGCGCCAAATAAACAGTAGATATTATTCATATTCAATGAGATGCAGTCATGCCTCGCTTAACAACAGGGACACGCTCTGACAAACGCATCATAAGGCAATTTTGTCATTGTGCAAACAACACAGAGTGTACTTACCTGGCATAGCCTACTACGCACCTAGGCTATACGGTACAGCCCCCCATCGCTCTTAGACTACGAGCCGATACAGCATCCTACACTGAATACTGTGGGCAACCGTAACACAATCATGAGTATTTGTGTATCTAAACATAGAAAAGGTACAGTAAAAATACAGTATAAAAGATAAAGAAATGGTAGAACATGTAGGGCACTTACCATGAAAGGAGCTTGCAGGACTGGAAGTTGCTCTGGGTGAGTCAGTGAGTGAGTGGTGGGTGGACGTGAGGCCTGGGACATTATGGGACACGACTTTAGACTTGATAAACACTGTATGCTTAGGCTACACTAAAATTCATTAAAAAATATTTTTCTTTCTTTAATAATAAATTAACCTTAGCTTACTGTAACTTTTTTACTTTATAAACTTTTAAATATTTTTAAATTTTTTGTCTCTTTTGCAATAACACTTCCCGTAAAACACAAACACGCTGTATAGCTGTACAAAAATATTTTTTTCTTTACATCCTTATTCTTTGAGTTTTTTTCTATTTAAAAGCTTTTTTTTACTTTAAAAATTCTTTTTGTTAAAAACTAAGACAAAAACACATGCATTAGCCTAGGCCTACACAGAGTCAGGATCATCAATATCACCGTCTTCCACCTCCACACCTTGTCCCACCCGAAGGTCTTCAGGGGCAATAACACACATGCAGCTGTCATCTCCTATGACAACAATGCCTTCTTCTGGAATAGCTCCTGAAGGACCTGCCTGAGGCTCTTCTTGAGGAGGTGTCACTCTTCAGAAATATGTCCATGGTGGTTTGCTTGGTTTGTTTCTTTTTTTTTTTTTAAAGATTTTATTTATTTATTTATTTATTTTCCTTTTTCTCCCCAACGCCCCCCAGTACATAGTTGTATATTCTTCGTTGTGGGTCCTTCTAGTTGTGGCATGTGGGATGCTGCCTCGGCGTGGTTTGATGAGCAGTGCCATGTCCGCGCCCAGGATTCAAACCAACGAAACACTGGGCCACCTGCAGCGGAGCGCTCGAACTTAACCACTCGGCCACCGGGCCAGCCGCCTGGTTTGTTTCTTTTTTTCATCATAGATGTGCTTGTAACCAGATAATGCACCATGAATGTTCCTCTCTATTAATGAAAATCTGTTGTGCTGGGGTCCACGTTTACAAACTTTTTAAGGAGCTTGTTGAGGTCTGCAAAAGCTTCTGCTAAACCCTTCACTGTGAATTTTCTTGAGGGTTCTTCTTTTTCTTCTCCTGTAGTTTCCTCTTTTCTATCCTCTTCTTCAGCTAAGCGTTCCTGTCCCAGTTCCAACAACTCCTCATCAGTAATTGCTCAGGAACCACCTCCAGGAGCTCCTCAATGTCATCCGCATCCACACCCAGGTTAAAGCTGTTGGCCATTTCAACCACAGCCTTCTTGATTTTTGCAACCTCTTCATCATCGGCAAATCCTTTCAAGTCATGGATGAACGTCTTGAGTGTCTTCTTCCAGAGGCCATTCATACACTCCTTGGTGACATCACCCCAAGCCCAAGCAAGGTTCTTGATGCAGAGTTGCATCGGTGTCTTCTCAGTATCTTCCTCAGTTGCAGCAATAGCCTGGGCAAAGGTCCTCCTCAGGAAGTAGGCCTTAAAAGCTGCTACAACTCCTTGATCCATTGGTTGAATCAAAGAGGTGGTGTTTGGAGGCAGAAACATCACTTTGATATTGGGATGAAGATCACTAATAAATGGAGGCTCTCTGGGAGCATTATCAACAATAAGCAAAATTTGAAAGGCACATTATTCTCCAAACAGTACTTCTCCATTTCGCTGGCACAGCGATTCAGGAGGGCATCTTGGAAGAGGAGGCAGGTCATCCATGACTTCTTCTTGCTCCTGTGGTACACTGGCAGTGTGTGCTTACTGATATGTTTGAAAGCCCTGGGGTTCGCACTGTGCCAGATCACAAAGGGTTTCAACTTGTAGCCTGCAACATTGCCCCCAAGCAAGACTGTTGTCCTGTTCTCAAAAGCCTGGGAACCTGGCGTTGACCTGGCCCCTTACGGACGGAAGTCCTCTCAGGCATCTGCTTCCAGAATAGGGAGGTTTCATCCATATTGAATATTTGCTCTGGCAAGTGATTTTCCTCCACAGTCAGCTTATCTAGAGTTTCCAAAAATTCTCCAGCTGCCTTCACATCAGCACTCGCAGACTCACCCTCACTTTCACATTACGTAATGAGTAATGATTCCTGAACCGTTTAAACCACCCAGAGCTGGCAGTAAATTCAACATCATAGTCTGGTCCAGCCTTTTCTTTCAACATTGCAGACAAATTTTTCGCTTGGGCTACGATCATCATGGTGCTGAGACAGACACACTTCTGTGTCTGGTCTTGAATCCAGGTCATTAGAAGTTTCTCCATGTCTGGTATGGGCCCTTCTTGAATTTTTGTTAGTCTCGTTGCCTTCAATGAAGCAGATCCTTTAACAGCTTCTTTAACAAGAGCGTAGCTATGGGGGAACGGGACAAGCCTGGCTGGTGAGCAATAACCATCACTGATTTTCCACCTTCAGAGTCCTTAATCACTTTTTTTTTTCAGGAAGATCAGCCCTGAGCTGACACCTGCTGCCAATCCTCCTCTTTTTGCTGAGGAAGACTGGCCCTGAGCTAACATCCATGCCCATCCTCCTCCACTTTATACGTGGGACACCTGCCACAGCATGGCTTGACAAGTGGTGGGTAAGTCCACACTTGGGATCCGAACCAGCGAACCTGGGGCCACCAAAGTGGAACGTGTGAACGTAACCGCTGCACCACTGGGCTGGCCCCTTAATCACTTTTAATTTCATTTCCAGGTCAATCACTCAACGTGGCCTCTTACTGGCAACATTAGCAGTGGATTTTGTACGCTTAGGGGCCATGACGAACAAAACAACCCAAGATTAAATCAAGCACAAGAGAAAATGATGCAATCAAGAGATGTGGTAATGTGAAATGTATGAGGCTGCTGCCAACGTAACACAGCATATACTGTTTCACAGTGAATTTTTTTTTAATAGTAGAAATGATGACGATTTTTAGGCTGCTTAATTTTAAAACGGCTTATGATGAGGATTTTTAGGCTGGTTAGTTTTAAAACTACAGATGAGATTCAGGCTCCAAGGAGTGAAATTTGTTTGCCCCTTTGTTGGGAAACATTTACATTTCCAAGGAAAACCTCTATCTGTGAAGATGCCTCCCTTCTGTGCCAGGAAGAAGGGGGATGACCTTATCTCTAGAGGCTCCTGATCAATGCCAGAGGCAAGAACTTGAGTTGTTTACTGTCTGGCAACCTCATGTAACTGCCCCCCCCCAACCCCCCAACAAATCCTCCTTTGTCTTTAGCTAAGGATAATATTCAAGGGGTGACTTCTGCCATTTACTCAATCCGGTTTGATTCTTATCTAAAAGTTGTGGGACCGCCAAATGACCAGACCCCACCTGCACTGATACCATTTTAACTTTTTTTTCATGTTCTTTCCTTTGTCTTGTGAAGAGATGACTCACGTACCCATGCCTTATAAAATTAGCCCTAACCCTCAACTCGGGGCAGCAGCAGGAGCTCTGACTGCCCGTGGGTCTTGTCCCCACGCACCAGCTCTGCCTGCCCATGGGCTCTGTCCCCATGCCAGCGGGGGCAGCAGAAGCGGCGGCAGCAGAAGCTCTGACTGCCCATGGGTCCTGTCCCCATGTTACACTATTCTCTAAATAAAAGAGCACTACTGCCAGATCTTAAGAGTCTAAGAAATCTTTCTTTCGACTCCTTGGCTCACCGACCCCGCATCAGAAAGAGTACACTCTAAAATAACAGTAAAAAGTATAGTATATTAAATACATAAACCAGTAACATAGTCGTTTATTATCATTATCAAGTATTTTGTAGTGCACATAATTGTGTGTGCTCTGCTTTCGTACAACTGGCGGCGCAGTAGGTTTGTTTACTCCAGCTTCACCACAGGCTCCTGAGTCATGAGTTGCACTATGATGCCACGGTGGCTGCAACATCACTAGGTGACAGGAATTTTTCAGCTCCATTATAATATACAAGACCACTGTCATACATGTGGTCCATTGTCAGCATGCGGTGCACGACTGTCTAAGGAAGATTGTAAAATGAAGAGAAGATTAATGTTAAAGTAAGTTAATTGGAAATTGGTCTACGAATTTTTTTTAAAGAATCTCAAACTTACAAAAAAGTTGTAAATACGGTTCTGATCTTTGTTTTCGTCCTGAACCCTTTAAGTAAATGCTATCTTGATTCCTCATCGCCCCCAAATACTTTAGTGTGTATTTCCTACAACAAGGACTGTCTTCTATGTGATACAACCATCCAAATAAGAAAATTAATATGCTACAGTGCTATATCATCTAACCCTCAGACCCCTTTCAAGTTTTGCCAGTGTGTCCAATAATGTCCTTTGCAGCAAAAAGATGTTTGCATTCAGATTGTCCTGTCTCTTTAGTCTCTTTCAAGCTGGAATAGCTCTTCAGTGTTCCCTTCACCTTCTCGTCACGACGCTTTTGAAGACTGCAGGCCAATTATTTTGTAGCATGTTCCTCCATTCAGGTTAAGTGAGTATGCTTCCCTGACCACACGCCCCTATCTCTCTTATCAACCTGCCTTCTTTTCTTCATCTCACTTATCACCTGTCTGTACTGGTTGACAACCTAGAAGAGTGTGCCCTTGGGCCAGTTCCTTTACCTCCCTGTGCTTCAGTTTCCTCACCTGCAAATGGCGATACAATAGCATCAAAAGGAAGGTTACATTTCAAATTCATGAGAAAGGTTGGCTCTGGGGAGGGACGTGAAAGGGAATGAGATGGCAATGTCCCCAGTGTCTGTCTTTGTCCCAAAGCCTGGAACAAAGTATGAGCTAAATAAATATTTGTGGAATTAATGAAAATATTATGTTAGTAAGCTGATCTTGAGTTGGTGCCACTGTTTAGTAGTAGAATATTGCTCAATATTAATTATTGAGTAGGGGCCAGCCCCGAGGCCAAGTGGTTAAGTTCGTGTGCTCTGCTTCGGCGGCCCAGGGTTTTGCTGGTTTGGATCCTGGGTGCAGGCAGACACAGCACTGCTCATCAAGCCATGCTGTGGTGGCATCCCACATACCACAACTAGAGGGGCCTACAGGTGATGAAGATCAAGGCTGCCCCAGGGAGAAAAGCCCAAGGCGTCCTGCCCTACATACCCATCTACATGTCCTCTGGGAAGGAGAGGATGTCCTGATCTGATCCCACCTGATTCTTATCTAAAGTTATAGGACCACCCAATAACCAGACCCCACCTGCACTGATACCATTTTAATGACTTTTTTACATAATCTTTCCTTTGTCTTATAAAGAGATAACTCGAATACCTATGCCTTAAATTTTTCCCTACCCTCAACCCATGCCTGCAGCTCTTACTGCCCATGAGTCCTGTCCCCATGCTATTCTCTGAATAAAGGAGCACTGCTATCAGATCTTGAGAGTCCAAGACATCTTTCGACTCCTCTCACCGAGCCTGCATCACAGATAGATTATACAACTATGTACTGGGGAGCTTTAGGGAGAAGAAGAAAAAGAAATAAAAAAAAAAGATTGGCAACAGATGTTAGCTCAGGGCCAATCTTTAAAAAAAAGGATTATTGAGTAACGTCTACTTTGACTCTCTGAGAATAAAATCAGTTGGAAACTCTCTGCTTTGAACTGGGGGCAGGGGGATACTGGGTTCTCCTAAATACAGCTAAAGTTCTGGGGCTCATGTCAGCCTCCCAAGAAGAAAAATAAGAAATCTTTCTTTCCTTTATGCCAGTCTGGTCTTCCTAGACTCTGGTTTGGGGAGGAGATAAGAAATTGGGTGAGGATGGTGAGGAGGAGGGTGGAAGTGAGGCGTGGGATTTTATAAGCATGCGCAGCAAATCTCCAAAGCTCTCAACATCTTTGACCTCCAAGGATCTCGGAGGACTTGCTCACTCTTGGGCAAGGCTGTCAAGATTTCCACATCTACCCAGATCTTGCCAATTGCAAATCATTTCGGGGAATTAAGATGTGAGGGCAGCCTGGCTTTGGCCCCATCTAATCAATATTTAATGAGGCTGCAGCCCCTGGGGCCCCATGTGTGGTGCAGGGAGATGCACAACACTCATGGAACACAGTCTAGAGGCAAGGATTGAGGCAAGTATACGTAAGTCAGTGCCAAAAACACCTTGTGCCACGACAAGTCCACACAGATCATCGTGGTATTCTGGGGAGAACAAGATCTTATCTGTAGGAGGAGAGAGTCCTGACGGGGTTGATAAAGGAAGCTGCATTTCCAGGTCTGTTTCCTTGGGAACACTGCACAAGCCCTCCTGGAGAGCAGATGCGTTTCTTTAAAAATTGCCTCAGCTCTTGGTATGCCATTTTACCACTTCTTTTATTCATATTGTGTTTTCCCCCTCAAACTGGGAAGAGTGGCAATGCTTTTTTTTCCCCTCTAATTATAAATATCTGGTCAGTTTTTCAAAAATCTATAGAGATATATATAGAGAGACAGAGACAGGGAGAACGTGAGAGGGAGAGAGGGAAATGTCCTATAAGGAACTGGCTCATGCGACTATGGAACTGGCAAATCCAGAACCCGTAGGGCCGATGTCCTGGTTTGAGTCTAAAGGCTGGAGGGTGCTGTCGAGTCAGGAGGAGCTGATGCTCCCGTCTGTGAAGACCATCAGGCAGGAAGATTCTCTCTTCCACAGGGAAAGGTCAGTGTTTTTTTTCTACTCGGGCCCACAACTGATCGGACGAAGCTCCTTCAGCATGGAGGGCAATCTGCGCTACTCAATATAGTGATTTAAATGTTAATCTCATGCGAAAACTCTCTCACAGAAACACCCAGAATAATGTTTGACCAACATCTGGGCATCTTGTGGCCCAGTCAAGTTGACACATATGATTAACCCTCACACTGACCAATACACAACTCTCTGACTGGATTTAGTTGCTCATCTTCAACTCAAAGCAGTAGCTTCGCCCCTTCCCATGGTCGGGACTCCACAGCCCCACATAAACATTAGGCCACACCCTTCTCATAACCTTGAGGCCAACACCTCTATTGCTTTCTCCTCTGGGTCTCTTCAGTTTAAGCTTCCTTGGTGGGCCTGAAATTCAGTTTCCCCTCTTTGAGTTGGTGAGTCCACAACAGCAACAAGCACAAAATATCAATTATTTTCTTAATAACTCATCCATATTTCATACATAAAAATGGAATCATATCACACAGATTGTTTTATAATCTGTTATCTTAAGATATCTTAGATAATATCCTATGTCAGTGTAAATGGAGCTACATATATTGTAAGGGTTACGGTACTCCATTGTAGGAATATACCAGAATTGAGGGAACTATTTCTTTATTGTTACACAGTAGGGTCATTTACAAGCTTTTCACCATGAGAAATAGTTCTTTGACGGGCCTTCCCTGTGGCTGAGTGGTTAAGTTCATGTGCTCTGCTTGGGTGGCCCAGGGTTTCGCCGGTTCAGATCCTGGGCACAGACCTAGCACTGCTCATCAAGCCATGCTGAGGTGGCATCCCACATAGCACAACCACAGGGACCTACAACTAGAATATATAACTATGTACTGGGGGGCTTTGACGAGAAGAAGAAAGAAAGAAGATGATTGGCAATAGAAGTTAGCTCGGGTGCCGATCTTTGAAAAAAAAAGAAATAGTTCTTTGATGTACTGTGTGCAAATGTTTGGATATATAGTTTTTGGCTAACATATCAGTCAAAGTTCAGTTATGAGACAGAAACTATACCAGTTTTTTTAGGCAGATTAGCCCTGAGCTAACATCTGCTGCCAATCCTCCTCTTTTTGCTGAGGAAGACTGGTCCTGGGCTAACATTCGTGCCCGTCTTCCTCTACTTTATATGTGGGATGCCTGCCACAGCATGGCTTGACAAGCAGTGCCATGTCCATACCCGGGATCCGAATTGGTGAACCCCGGAGCGCCAAAGCAGAACGTGTGCACTTAACTGCTATCCTACCGGGCCGGCCCCTATACTAGTTATTTTTATTTTTATTTTTTTTGTGAGAAAGATTGGACCTGAGCTAACATCTGTTGCCAATCCTCCTCTTTTTGCTTGAGTAAGATTGTCACTGAGCTAACAGCTGTGCCAGTCTTCCTCTACTTTATGTGGGACGCCACCAGAGCGTGGCTTGACGAGTGGTGCTGGGTCTGCACCCGGATCTGAACCTGCAAACCCTGGGCTGCCAAAGCGGAGCGCACGAACTTAACCACAATACCACCAGGCTGGCCTGCTATACTAGTCATTTTAACAGAGAAAATTTAATGTAAAGAATTGGTAAGGATCCCAAATAGTCAAAGCAATCTTGAGAAGGAAGAACAAAGAAGAAGAAGAGAGACAGAAAGAAGAGCAAAGTTGGAGGCATCACACTTCCTGATTTTAAACTACATTACAAAGCTATAATAATCAACACAGTATGGTATTGGCATAAAAATAGACACACAGATCAATGGAACAGAATAGAGAGCCCAGAACTACACCCATGCATATAAGGTCAACTAATTTATGAAAAATGAGCCAAGAATACACAATGGAGAAAGGACAGTCTCTTCAATAAATGGTGTTGGGAAAACTGGACAGCCATATGCAAAAGAATGAAACTGGACCACTATCTTACGCCATACACAAAAATTAACTCAAAATGGATTAAAGACTTGAACATAAAACCTGAAACCATAAAACTCCTGGAAGAAAATACAGGCAGTAAGCTCCCTGACATTGGTCTTGGCGATGATTTTTTGGATTTGATACTAAAAGCAAAGGCAACAAAAGCAAAAATAAATAAGTGAGACTACATCAAACTTAAAAGCTTCTGCACAGCAAAGGAAACCATCAACAAAATCAAAAGGTAACCTAGCAAATGGGAGAAAACATTTGCAAATAATGTATCTGATAAGGGGTTAATATACAAAATAATAACGAACTCATAGAACTCAATAGCAAAAAAAGAACAATCTGATTTAAAAATGGGTAAAGGATATGAATAGACATTTCTCCAAAGAAGACACACAGATGGCTGACAGCTGCCTGAAAAGGTACTCAACATCACTAACATCAGGGAAATGCAAATCAAAACCACAGGAAAATAGCAGCTCATACCTGTTAGAATGGCTATCACCAAGAAGGCAAGAAATAACAACTGTTGGTGAGGACTGGAGAAAAAAGGAACCCTTGTGCACTGTTGGTGGAATGTAAATTGGTGCAGCCACGATGGAAAACAGTATGGAGGTTCCCCAAAAATTAAAAATAGGATTACCATATGATCCAGCAATCCTACTTCTGGGTATTTACCCAAAGGAAACAAAAACACTAACTGGAAAAGATATCTGAACCCCCATGTTCACTGCAGTATTAACAACAGCCAAGACAGGGAAGCAACCTAAGTGTCCACTGACAGATGAACAGATAAAGAAGATGTGATATATAGGCCAGCCCGGTGGCGTAGTGGTAAAGTTCACATGCTCATTTTGGCAGCCTGGGGTTCGCCAGTTCACATCCCAGGTGTGGACCTACCCATCACTTATCAAGTCACGCTGTGGCAGGCATCGCACATATAAAGTAGAGGAAGATGGACACAGTGTTAGCTCAGGGCCAGCCTTCCTCAGCAAAAAGAGGATAATTAGTGGCAGATGTTAGTTCAGGGATAATCTTCTTTAAAAAAGAAAATACGATATATAGACACAGTGGAATGTTATTTAGCCATTAAAAAGAAGGAAATCTTGCCATTTGCAACAATATGGATACACCCTGAGGGCATTATGCTAAGTGAAATTAGTAAGATACACACAAATACCATATGACCTCACTTATATGTGGAATCTAAAAAAAAAAAGCCACCCCCCAAAAACTGAACTCATAGAGATTGGTGGTTGCCAGAGGCAGGAGGAGTTGGAACAGAAAAATGAGTGAAGGTGGTGATAAGGTACAAACTTCTAGTTAAAAAATAAATAAGTTGGGCCAGCCCAGTGGAGTGGCATAGTGGTTATGGTCAGACACTCTGCTTTGGCAGCCTGAGGTTTGCCAGTTTGGATTGCTGATTTGGATCTTGGGCATGGACCTATACACTGCTCAGCAAGCCATGCCAAGCCGGCATCTCACACACAAAATAGAGGAAGACTGGCACAGATGTTAGCTCGGGGACAATCTTCCTTGCCAAAAAAAGAAAAAAATTTATGGGAATGTAATATACAGCATGGTGACTATAGTTAATACTACTATGTTGTATATTAGAAAGTTGCTAAGAGAGTAAATCTTAAAAGTTTTCATCACAAGAAAAGAAAATTTGTAAGCGTGTGTGGTGATGGATGTTAACTAGACTTATTGTGGTGACCATTTTGCAATATGTACAAATAACAAATCATTATGTCGTACACCTGAAACTAATATAATGTTGTATGTCGAATATATCTCAATTAAAAAAAAGAGGCCGGCCCGGTGGTGCAGTGGTTAAGTGTGAACGTTTCGGCTTTGGCAGCCTGGGGTTCACCGGTTCAGATCCCGGGTGTGGACATGGCACTGCTTGGCAAGCCATGCTGTGGTAGGCGTCCCACATATAAAGTAAAGGAAGATGGGCATGGGTGTTAGCTCAGGACCAGTCTTCCTCAGCAAAAAGAGGAGGACTGGCAGTAGTTAGCTCAGGGCTAATCTTCCTCAAAAAAAAAAAAAAGAAAAAAAAGAATTAACCAGATGAATTAGCCATTTATTTCTACATAACAAATTACCTCCAAAACTTAGTGGCTTAAAACAAATATCTATTACCTTGTAGTTTCCGTGGGTGAGGAATTCAGAAGTTGTGTGGCTGCAGGGTTCCGGCTCAGGGTTTCTCATGAAGGTGTGGTCAATATGTCAGCTGCACCCCTCTGAAGGCCTGACTGGGGCTGGAGGATCCACTTTCAGGATGGCTCCCTTACAACACAGAGGCCTCAGTTTCTTACTGGCCGTTGGCAGGAGGCCTCAGTTCCTCATGATGTGGGCCTCACTGTAGGCTGCTTGAGTGTCTCAACATATGGCAGCTGACTTCTTCCAAAGCATATGATTCAAGAAAGAGAGCAAGATGAAAGCCACTGTATTTGTTATGAACTCCACCACTGTCACCATACGCTATTCTTTAGAAGCAAGCCACTAAATACAGCCTACCCTCAAGAGGAGAATTAAGCTCCGCCTCTTGAAGAAAGGAAATCAAAGAATTTGTGGACATATTTCAAAACCACCATACCAGGTGCTGAAAACTTCAAAAGCAAAAGGGAACACTAAGTATTACGGGGGGGGGGGGGGGGGGAATGG